ACCAACTCATATACTAAGCAGCTTGCGATCCCGCATTCTACGTAACGATATAAATAGTTTTATACCAAAGTAAGTAATACCTTGGCAAGCGAAAATTAATGGGATTTTTTATCCGTTTAACCCTAGTTAAGCTATTTCAAACCCCTTTTGACGATACATTATACTTAAATATCTTCTTTACTTTATGTGTAAAATAGAAAAAAATTATCGAAAATATTAAAAATTGCCTTCGAGTACTGAAACTATCTTGTTAAGCCACGGAAAAACAGACATAATGAAATTATAATTTTATACAACCTAAAATAAACATACCTATATTATTTGTCAATTGTAATGAAGCAATATGTAATCTACGCACATGATATACCATAGGAGTGACATCATACAATATACTTAACAATGGGTGCACATTTACATGTGATTCGCAATGCCAGGGTTTCGCTTTTGAATCAACTGACACAATTTCTTGGCGCCCACTGAGTCAGCGCAAGCGCAAGCATTATCCATCTGAATTTACAATACTTCAAAATACATTGTTATGCAATTACGCCGCTGGATACCTTGGCAGTTACAATAATAAGTATGACCTATGTAAATTTGATATTCGTGAGCAGACTTACGACTATATCCTTCCACCTCCCATTTAAATCATTTAACGGTCTTTATTTAAAAATAAAAAGTAGTAATGTATACAACATTTTATATAATGTTTACACTTAAGTTAAAAACATAGTAACCTGGATATACTGAATTGTCGTCTCCGAGGTCCCCTGAAGATTCTAGGTCAGATCAATGTAGATAACAGACCTTTCTATTTTCTTATTCAGGTCTGGGTGTTGTGGTACCATGGTTGTCTCAGATACTCCTTAATACGGGGCTTCAGCTATTCATCTTAGAATTTAAACAATGTATGTGTCATATATTTAGTATTAAGAAAAACATCGGACGCTTCGCACGCTTCACATATTAGCAAAAAAATAGTAAGGCGCCGATGATTTGAAAAAATATTAACCCCAAAATAAGCCCTTAGTCATAATAATGCCTTAGTATGCCCCACAGAACATAGAGAGAGAATAGAAGTAGTAAGTGGGCGGGGCAAGCGTCACTGGCATATGCGCTTTTACTCATATGACGCCCTTTCCTCGGTTTTATGTTTGTCAGTCGTTCGTCAATCGTCGAGTGGTGATTTTACTGTTTTTTTCTATAATTAATACCGTTTTGTGCTATTATCACTTGCAAAAAGCAAAACAAAGTATACAATCTAACTAATGCAAACATTTCCTTTCACTGGTAAGTACAATTTTAGTGCTAAAATATAAAAAACGTAATAATTTGACACAATTTCAAATAAAATATACATTGTTTGCTCAAACCAACATTAATGTTTCTAACCCCGTTTCTAGACAGCAATGTAAATCATATTGTGCACTTTTGCAAAAAATAGTGCTGTGCCTCCGTTTGTCTGAAATGTACCGATAGGCTGCTGCTGCTCGGAATCGTATTGTTAATTATATGGATCGTAATCGATAACTAAAACAAATTTATTTAGAGCTTTTCTTTCATCATTTTATATTAACGTTATGGATAAGTATATGCCATAATTATATAAAAATAAATACTACTGTTTAAAAGAGAAAATAAAAGATGAAGTGATACTGAACAGATGAAATAATGAACTATCCAGGCACTTTTTTAAGAAAGATTCGGTTAATTATTTACACGCAGATAAATATTAAAAAATACTGATGTGCTATAAATATCTAAGTTACGAAGTATATCAACGTTTTATGAACAATATATAAATCAAACGAAACTTCGTGAAAAGCTACGAGTGTTGGCCTAATAGGTCGTATTAGAAACTGGTGAAACTGGATTTCACTTATTTTGCATTGCTTATATTTTAGTTTCCCTAATAACTTAACAACGGATTGCCCTGTTTACATAATTTATTTTGTCCTATCCGTTTTAGACCTAAACCTATCAAATGAATTTCAAAACAACATATTATCTAATAATATTTTTAAACTCACACGATTTGTATACATTATAATTATATGCAATCGGGTCTTGTTCGTGCATTTTTTAAAACAATTATTTACCTCGACGTTTCGGCTACGTTACAGCAGTATTCCTTACCAAAAACCTGGCGTTTATAAAATTGACTGCAGCTGCGGTAGTTCATATATCGGACAAACGAAGCGGACTATCGCCGAACGTGTAAGAGAACACATAGCGGCGGTCAAAAATCGTCAAGTGGAGAAGTCCGCGATTGCAGAGCACTTATTATCATCTGGATCAAACCACTGGATCGAGTTACATACACCTCATGTCCTTTCCACTGAACGACATTACTATCCAAGGATTGTTCGTGAAGCGGTTGAAATCAAAAAACACAACAATTTCAACCGGGAAAGTGGATATAAACTCTCACCAACGTGGAATCCGGTTATAAAAATATATAAGTGTCGCGATCGCAAACAACCACGAACAATATTCTCGGATACCGTAAGTGCAGTGTGTCGCCACCTTTACGTATAATAAAATCAAGTGGAGGGTACATCTGAAAATCAGTTAAAAACATTATTACCGGATTACCCTCAACTAAAATCAGAAGACGACACCCGCCAGTTCTCCAGTCTCCTCGTGACCACGGCTGCTGTAACGTAGCCGAAACGTCGAGGTAAATAATTGTTTTAAAAAATGCACGAACAAGACCCGATTGCATATACATAATTATAACATATTATCTATACAAACAAAAAATCATGTTTTCAACTAACGTAATATTGTTGGTGGTGTGAATTTAATTTACAAAATTAATTTAAAGGCGTCAATTTAATTAACTTTATTATGCTGATTCATAATCGGAAACCATTATTATAGAAATCGAGTTAAGATAGCCACTTTAAAGAACCGCTCACAGAACAGCTTTTATCAGTTTTTTTGTTGCTCCATATTTGCACATAAGTTTATAAACGCATGTCTGAAATGGATGTGACTTTATATGTAGATTGACGTTTGTACGTACTTATCGCTTTTGTGTATGTCTTCAAACTTTTTTGTCACGGCTTTCAAACTCATACTTGACCAGCGATTCCTTATTGTCCAGTCGTTGCAATTAAAAATGTAGGTACTATAATTATTACAGTTATAAAACTTAGAATAATAAAGTAAAACAAACATGGCTATGATCAATTTATTATTATAATGATCATATTAGTTATTATAATATGAAATGAAAATATCTTTATTCAAGTAGGCTATTACAAACACTTTTGAATCGTCCAAAAAAATTTTTCCCCTGCCACTTGTTCAGGACGTCTTTTAGCTGACAAGAAGAACAAGCGAAAGAAACTTACCAGCCCTTTATCATAAGTAATGATATTTACATAAATCATGTCATTTCATATCATATCACAATAATAAATACAACTTTCAAAGTCTGTAGGACATAGGTTGAACATATAATTAATCTTTATAGTACAAAGCGATCCTCTGGTTATCTGAAGTCTAAAGCTTGGAATGGCAAGTTTATTTTTATTTCTTGTGTTAAGATTATTAACACTACTTTTTTTTGTGAAGAAATCGTAATGTTTTCTTGCGTAGATAATATTTTCATTGATGTATTGAGAGGCAACAGTCAAAATATTTATTTTTTTAAATATTTCTCTGAGAGATTCTCAAGACCGTAAATTATATATAGCGTGGACAGCTCTCTTTTGTAGAATAAAAATATCTTGAACCCCACAACAATAGATTATACGTCATTACACTATGAAAATAACTAAAATATACCAATCCTGCCGTTTCAACATTTGTCAAGAGTCTAATTTTCTTAACAGCAAATGCTGCAGAACTCAGTCTACTTTACAAATTATCAATATGAGGATCCCATTGCAGTCGGGAATCTAGTGTAATACCAAGGAACTTTTTCACTATTTACATTTATAAGTGTATTAATATGCCTCACATTAGATAATGCAAACTTTATGTATTTCATTTTATTTGAATTAAGCTTTAAATAATATTACTATCAAACCAATGTAGAACATTGTCGAACTGAATTACATTTAACTGTTTCATAACAAAATTTAAACCTCTTATTTCATCAACTAATATTATGTCACATCACTAATATGCACAATCGGAATGATACCAGTAAGAAAAAATTACAAATTAGGCTTAATGTAATTAATACAAAAAATCTGTTGGTTTCTTAATTTTTGTTTTTTTTTTACACTTTCCCTCGCTTAATTATATTACTTCACAGACATATGATAGATTTTATCTTTAGGTTTTCTTAGTTTTTGTACTGCGTTGTTTAAAAGAAGTTATATAGGGAAAAGCGTTATTTTTCAATATTCACTTGGTTACAGCAAAATCTAATCTTAATAATTCGCACATAAAATGATGTCCCCAATTTTTTAAAATGTGCATAATCTTAAAATATTTTTTCCCTTCTGGTATCCCCGTATACAGCCACCTGACAGTTCAACATTCATGTTAAAGTAAATTATTTATTATCACATTGAATTAGAGTTTGTTTTTAATCGTGTGATTTCTTAGCTTAGTATCTTTTTGGGATTTTGTTTATGTTATCACGAACGTATCGCGTGGCGGTTTTTCATGTAGTGAACAAAATGATCATTTCATCTAATCTGTATTTGTGTGCGGAGAGGCGACACTCGGTTCCCATACTAAATCAATATCATTATACTTCTAATCTCTCTCTATGTTCTGTGGTATGCCCCTATTCTATATTTGTTTTTAAAAAACGATAATTAACATGAGCTTTTGTGTTTTGTTTAAATAAAAAAATGCAAGAGCTGAAACCCATCAAAATTCTCGTCTAGCTGATCTTGTACAAGTCTGGATGCCCAACTAGAGTCATTAAGGTCTTCTAAAAACTGATTGTCTGAATTCAAGCGATTGTGGCAAATGTTTATCTTTAATAAAGCAAATATGGCTGTATGGACTAGGTCATTTTGCCTTTAGTAATGTCAATGTCAATTATCATGTATCACATGTCAAAAATATCAGTTGTAAGCTGTGGTGTTTTTCAGTTTTTGCTGTGTGTGAAGATAGGATTTTTTGATTCTGTTACGATTTATGTGTAAATCACAAAAGCAATTATTTGTAAGTCGTTTTTTACATCTTTTATCGATATAGAAACTCATTTAATACTAAAACATTACATATATATGAAAAGGCAAACGAACCAAACCGTTTTAACCATTGTTTTTGTATAAGGCAATGTGTTTTTGCATTACAGATTATTTTGTCATCAAAATAAGAATCTCTGATGGATCGTAATAGAACAAAAAATGCATCGGAAGGTATTGCTGTAAGTAAATTTCAAGTTCCAAGAGATATCTGAAAAATATTCTACAATATTAATATTCTACACAATGTAACAGTTTCTAGTAATTTATAAAAGCATTTTTTTCAGCCAATGGGCATTACAACTCTAAACGATATAGCTCTCAGTAATCAGCCAGAGTCACGTTACGAATGTCCTGTGTGTCTAAATTGGTTGCGAGATCCAGTCATAACAACATGTGGCCACAAATTCTGCAAAAGCTGCATCACCTCTTGGTTACAGTAAGTTAAGTTTTCAGTCATATCAGTTGTCTGTAGTAGTAAGTACACAAGATTACCTCAAAATGTCAAACAGTAGATTTCAATCTTTTACTTAAAAATTTATTTAATAATACACTGATGATATGTTGACCGTACATGATATTTTACTTAATAAACACAGGGAAAAATAACTTACAACAATGGTTAGTTCTGTATGTTATCTACAAAATTTTACAATGAAATAAATTATTAATGTAATAGTTAAATATACTAAAAATATTTTACCATAAACAATACAGTCAAGTGCTCAAGATAGGATTTATACTAATTATCAACAAATTTTGTTAAATGATATTGTCAGGATTATGCATACAAATTAAGTGAAACTGTAGTATTACATTACATTTATATATTTTGTTACTCTTTACAGAAACAGTGGTCATTGTCCTATAGACAACATAAACCTTAGTATGAAAGTAGACATATTCCCTGATAACTATACTAAAAGAGAGATACAAGAGCAAAGGATGTCTTGCCCTTTCGCTGATAAAGGTATGCCTGGAGTTTCATTAACATAGTACTCAAATAATTAGTTAGTTATACAAATCATATGATATATAATGTGAAACAGAAATAATGCACATCTTTATACACCCCAATTATAAAATGCATTTATAATCATAAAACGAAAATTGGAACTTTACTTTTATGTACTAAAACATTGTTTATGTATGGACACAGTTTAAACAAAGTTATACAAATTGCTAGGTGACACTGTGGACATCTTACAAATTCACACAATAATATCAAAATTATGGCTTAGCCTGCAACTAGGAATGTATGTACCTGCAACGCAATACCACATTGATCTCACTTACCATCCAATAAAAACTCTTGACAAGAAATATTATTCTGTTTCGAGATTCAATGTGTTTTTAAGTTTAGTCAATAATTATGATTCTTACTTATTATGAGTATCGGCTAGCATAGTCTTGTGATCACATATCACATGCCAAGAGCAATATCACCACATTGTGTCTAGCCCTTAAGCATTTTGATGTACTTACTGTATATCGGTATGACGATGAATCATCACATGTGAAATAGAAAATTCAATAAATTTGAATTGCAATAAAATAATCATCCACTGCCACTGTCATGTTTGTCATGTTTATTTATTTATGAATTATTTTACTCTTTATTTATGAATTATTTTACTCTTTGGTTTATGAACTAGTGCATCATAGCATTTAAGAGTATTTAAGACAGCTTTAACAACATTAATACAAAGCTCATTTTTTTGTTTTTTGTTTCCTTTGTTGTATTTAATAACTAAAAATATAGTACATTTAATAATTATAATAACATTTTAAGCCTTTCTACATTCACTTAAGTTTATTTTTTGTTTGCAAGTGCTGTATGCTTACAGGTGACCATAATTTACTTGATTCCAATTAAATTTAGCAAAATAATTACCTATATTAGAAGTTGTTGGAATCAAATCAGTATCTGATTTTAAACAAACTACTTTCAGAGTGTGCATTAATTATGTTACATGTTGTATATAATACGTACTAATTTCTTATATTTTCATATGCACTACTAGTTAAATTTTGAAATGAGTATAGTGAGTTTATATTTGATTTCATAATGTTTGTACACTTTACATGTCTACTGTTCACTCAACACTTAGATGTAAATTATCTTTTTATTTATTTATATAATACATGTAACAGTATAATACTATAATTATCTATCATACTACAACATCTAGGCAGCAAGTACTATAGCAAGGAAATTAGCCTAGTTAGTTTTAATGATTTTGCCTTATGTCAACATAAAATTGTAGACATCATGAGTTTTTAAATATAATTAAATTTTATAACTCACCTATTGATAATGAACTATCAGCAACATAGAGATTAGATTCCATTTTGTAATTGCAACATTTAAGCAACTCTCTAAGCTAGTGTGGACATGTGATGACCGAAAATTTCAAGCTCAACTATCATTCAAAAGGCTCATTTAGCCATTTATATTATTGTAAGTCAGAAGAAAGAATGACTTTTAAGAAAATTTTTGTATAATTTTCAGGCTGTACCTTAAAAGTGACACCATTAGACTTAGATGCACACATAGCAAACTGTGAATACAACCAACCCGAAACATCTAATCAAAATGATATCAAAATACCTTGTTCATTCCACGCGGTCGGGTGCAAAGAAACATTTGAAAGCCAAGAAGAAATGAATGCACACCTGCACAGTGATACACAGAGTCACATGAGTGTAAGAACAATATTATTTGTCTATACTAGCAATTTTCAAACTTTTTAACATACATACAGTATGTTACTGTTACCCTATGTTTTGATAAATCAATATTTTCGTGAATCCCCAATTTTTTTTTCATAGTTGGTAATAGAAGTTTTGAATTTCAATAATTGTGAGCTCCCCTTTAATACTTTTATTACCTTGTTTTAAATACGAAATTTAGAATTACTAATCACAAATGAATGTTTTAATATATAAAAATAGTGATAGCATTAAAAGTTAAAAAGAACACTGACCTATATAGGTTCTCAAAAAAAACAATCATTTAACTTTTTTTTTTCTCTTTCAGTACTTAATGAATGCATATTCGGAGATGAAGATAAATAATGATATGAATGCAAGTATAGATCCCAAGGAACAGGAAGCAATGGTCCTATGGGAGCCTGACAAAGATGGAGGCCAGAATCCTGTCCCACCAATCACTAATACCAGTGCTCTTATAAGGTAAAAAGTCAAAATATGTTTATTCTAATAAACCCTTTTAAATTGTGTGCTTTTGAATAATTCAACAAGGTTTTCTATCAATCTTAGCACTGCAATCTCCCCCAATCGTTCGATATATTCCATTGATCATCCATCGGTAGCATTGGGCTTTACTCAAATTAGCTACTGATAATTATAAATACGTAAACTATGTAATGTTTTTGTTCTAAAGAAAAGTATAATCAGTTACGTCATATAAAAAAACAAAACGTCAACGTCTTTGTTGAAAGTGCAACCAGTACTCATGTTAATTGAAATATGACATCACAACTCGAAATGTCACGTGTCTGATGGTTTCAAGGGACAATTTAAAATATAAAATATGTTTTCCCTGTTTTCAATAACACTTTTTTTTCTGTTAAAATATAAATCTGATAGTAGTAAAATATGATCACGTAAAAATTTAAAATAGATACTTAACCCAAAACAGTCAAGTAGCCAATTATGTTTGACAAAGTCAGTGCTGACGCTAATTTAACTAATTACATTGCAGGGCATTATACGAACGAGTAGTAGTACTAGAACAGAGAAACCGTGAACAGGATATAGTGATTGCAAATATTTCTAAGCAGCTGTCAGCTTTTGCTGTAGCTAAGATGAAGCAGAACCACGACATGCTGCTGCGCTACTGCATGGGCAACTACATCTGGAAGATAGATAACTTTAAAGCACGTCTAGACGCAATGCTTAAAGATCATTACAAAATGTTGTACAGCCCCGGCTTTTACACTTCACCTAATGGATACAGGTAACTAAACTAGAAATAACACTCAACATATATACTGTATATCAAACTATAAAAAAAACTGTCAAAGGACATCGCCGAAAATGGCCCCAATACCATTAAATATTAATACTTCAATAATAATTACTAATTTATTTATTAAATTGGAATCAAATATTTATTTGACACGAGACAAGCTGCGATCCAAAATTAATATTTAAAAGTACTTTAACAGTAACATTTTTATTCGCAAATATTCACATTCAATATACTTAAATTCTATTGAGTCAGATGGATGTAATTTACACGTCAGATCAAGAAGATCATTTATTTTTATAAGATAACCTTTAAATCATCGAACACAAAAACATTAAATTAAATTGACCGAAAATAAACTTAAATTTACTAAAAGCGCCATCTCTTGGTGATTTTCCAACTAAAACATAAGGACATAAAAACTGAATATTATACAAACTAAATTCATTAACTGTTGATAATTCACTCTTGTTTATTCAGAAAGATTGATATTCATACGACATATCCTAAAAACTACTTTGTTTCTATTACATTACTTTATATTTCTCGTAAACATATTAACATCATGTCATTTATGTATTTAAGGCGCCATCTTTTGATGTAAACCATCAAAAAGCTATAGGTTTTTTAATTTTAAGCTTATCAATAGGTATATTATTTAACTATTAGAATGATTTATTTGTCTATTGATTGACTTAGAAACTTTTACAAATCACAACGAAAAACCGACTTTCTTAAAGTTGAGTTTTTTGCTTCGACAATATAGACATCAATATCATATCATGTACTTAGAGTGCCATCTCTTGGTGGTTTTCTAAACAAATTGTAACCACAAAATGAATTATATTTTGCGTGATAATAAGTTCTAAAACTCGGTCGCGGTATAATAAATACATAATGAGAATTAGTTAGTGACACACATTAAAATAAGTATTTTCCTATATTTTTTTGGCTCTGGGGCCACCAATGTATGGACGTTGAGCAAAGTCCTTTCTACAGTTAATTTTTAAGTTTATCTTGCTTGCTTTAGAGTTCAATATTGTTTACTGAACTTTGATATATATGATAGCGGCAATTTTGCCCATTTTAAATAAGATCTTAATTAATATATCACAGCAATGTTCAATGAATATCTATCTCCTTCTCAACAAGTATTTGGCCTAAATCTTCTATATCTATCTTTATACTGATTTCTTATATTTTAATGTGAACTCTTAAAAAAAACTATTTTTGAACACTACACCCGTTCAAAAATAGTTTTATTCCTTCCTTATCTCATTAAACCAAACAAAAGTAACTCCAAATGTGTTTTTATCTAAAGTATAACTAAACAGCTTTTCCTTTAGCAATAAGTTTTAAAATTGAGTGCACAATTCTACATATATTTAATTGGCATTCAGATTCTGCGTGCGCCTCAACATATCTCCGCAGAACCCCCACTGCTTCGCGCTACACGTGCACCTGATGAAGACTGAATACGACGACTGTTTAGAGTGGCCATTCAATGGGAGGATATCATTCGCTATGATCAACCAGTATCAGCCAGATCTGACCCAACGGGACACTATGATGTCCAACTCAAGTCTGATAGCGTTCAGGAAGCCCACCGCCGAGATATGCGTAAGAGGATTCGGTTATACTGAATACGCTGTAGTCAGCGATGTCGTCAAGAACGGCTTCGTCAAAGACGACAGCCTAATAGTCCGCGTAAACATTAAGTGCGTATGACATGAGGAGTAATTTTTTTGTTCGTTATTTCATACTATGTTTTCATACTATGACTCGTATCATTCCCTTATTTCTTTTAAAAATATGAAATTATTTTTATATGACAACCTGATGTTTATTACGCTTATTCTATATCTACTGTAAAGCCGATAATTAGTCTCAACGGTGCTTTTTTCTTTAATTATGAACTTGTGTTGTCGTGATAGAGCTGAAAATAGTATTAACCTACATGACTAGTCCGGTATGAAATCTCATAATTATATAATTACGCTGAGAACGATAGTGACAATGCAAAAAATGCGATTTTGAGTAATGAGCGTTTAAAGTTCAAGAAATTGTAATCAGCCCCTCTAAACAACGTATCGTCACTACGCCACCTAGCAGTTTCTATGCAAGCTACGTTCACGGGGATCTTTGCATTTTAAAGTTCACGCTTCGGCATGAATGGGCCGGCTCGACCGGAGTGATACCACGGCCTCACAGAAAACCGACGTAAAGCAACGCTTGCGTTGTGTTTCGTCGTGTGAGTGAGGGTACCGGAGGCCCAACTCCTCCCTATTCCCTTCCCTCTACCCCCCAACCCTTCCCTCTTAGGCAGCGCGTTTGTAGCCCCTCTGGTGTTGCAGGTGTCCATGGGCGACGGTAATCACTTACCATCAGGTGATCCGTCTGCTCGTCTACCCCCTACCCCATAAAAAAAAAGTAACAAATACGTCGTTTTTGGTTAGTGACATTGTCATTCTCAACGTGCGGACGAGTCGAGGGTCTGACTATCATCACCATGTTTTAAAATAACATTCTGTGAAAAGCCTTTTATAACAAATATATTCCGGAGATGTGACCTTTAGGACATTTCGTCTAATTAATGATAGCAATCTAAATTTTAACAGACAATATATTCAAAATCTTTAATATGTTGGCTGTTATTTATAAGTGTGTTAGTGAGTGGTAGCTCACAGTAACTTAACCATCCGTCCATTTATAATGCAATCAGTGCAATAAGTGTATTGTAAATATTTTTATCTTTTATACGAAGAAATATCTATATATTCGGTTTTATAAATCAAATTATATAAAATTTGTGCCGTCCATATACATAGTCCATATAGGTAAGTGAAATTATTTTATTGAATCATTGTTTGTTTATTCGATTTAATTTATACTGTTATGTAAATTTAAGTAAAACTTACATTCCATTGCATATAAATGGTATAAAATAATAATATACAATATTGTATGTAATTATGTAAAATGTTTAGAAAAGTGTACTTAATATATGTTTTGTTACTTATTATTGCAAATATTAGAGATCTGTTTGTATTATGAATTGTTTTCTTTTTCAATATTACAATTTACTGTTTTATTTTCTCTTCTCCAATCCTGGTTTTGAATAAAACACAGTTTAATATGAAATAATATAATATTCGTAATTAATGAATTACATCAACTTAAGTGTAATCTTAATAAAATATAGGAATTTATATTCATATAATAATTTTTACATATACTTAAACGATTATAATTACCACAAAATAGCGATTACGTGTAACCTTATCACATCCAACCATCACATTATCTCACGTGAAATATAAACTGACTACCTCATTATGGCTTACATAGTAAACTCCCATCTGTGGACTGCAGCGTTCTCAGTCCTACACGCGTAGCATGACAAACTCGAGAAACGCTTTGTCTACACTCATTTGTCAGTTTCTCGGGTCGAGAGTGAGATATATATAGTATGGGCGCACCCGAGAAAAGTAACATTTGAGTGTAGAGAAAACTATATCTCTATGACATTAAACAATACTCAAGTTAGATAAGAATAGACAACGGAACAGCCCACGATATATCAAATGACAATTTTTTGCTTATAAAATCTACTCTAGCATAAAGCCAGCACTATATGCGAATAATTTAATACAAACTAATTGAATGAAAACTAAAAATAGTTTTCTTATCTTAATAGAGATGGTTTATTTAACAGAAACGGACAATATGTAACCCTGATTAAAGATTCTGACATTATAATAACATATAATATTTAATCATGAGCGAATATTAGTAAATTTTATCGATAAATCAGGATTAAATATCATTGTCGTCTGATAAATAATAAGTACAATCACTTCAATATCAATTAATGCATCTAAAACAATCAATACGATTTTCACACAAATATATCGATAAATTTATTTAGTAATTTGAAAGCAACAAAATTTTTTATTATGTGTTTCCTATATAAATCGAGATAAATTCTAAAATATCAAACATATACTCGATAAAATAAGATACTTTATTATCAAGGTACATACAAGACCACATCATGTTACTAAAAAAGGCCATTCTACTATCGATTAAAAGCTTTAATCCGATTTAAGTTCAAAATTGATTATAGAAATTTGACCTTTTCTAGCCACTAGATGTGCTGCTGCACTCTTGATTGAAAATATTGTTTTTACTTCATATTAAAGTTGTTAAAATATATTTTAATTTCTTATTTAACGGAACAAAGACAAATGCATTTATAAATAAAAGATATTAAAACTTATTCGTACATGTATGTTTGTTACTTTTATGAATTTTTAATCTGATTATTCTGAATCTTTTTCTGATTCATATATTATGATAAAAACAATTATTTTTATTGGAAATAATTCTAACAATATTAAGTTCATTGACGTCATAACTTAAGCATTACGTAACACAATAACGCCCTTGTAAAAATATCAATACTTTTACTTTGGCATCGCAATTACATATATGAAATCCAATCGGTGGTTTCTAACTTTTGTCTCTCAGTCTAACATTTTGGGAGCATCGGCGATTCAAAATGTTTAAAAATATATATATATTAAACCTGCTAACCGTCAATGTTGTGTTTAAATTCTCTTCGTAGAAATAATAAAGCAAACGTATCAGCAAATAATTACGAAAATATAATTAAATATTGTTTTGTTAAGTAGATCAAACTACTACTTAAGATTTAGGTTACAATAAAAAAATCAAGTCGTACTTAAATCTATAAGGCCTTATCCTCAGAAATCAAAACAAGGTTAAATTACTCGAACGGTAACACTTTATGGCAGAACTTTGTGTGTCATAAATTAATGTGATCGTGTAACAAAGTTTGCACAAACCTCTTAAATCACCGACATTTTTTCTTTAATTTAGGGAATCTTGATAGAAGACCCGTCAATGTGCTTAATAATTCCAATGATTTATAAATATTCGTCAAAAAAAGATAAAATTACAGAGCATCGAGATTCTGCCAGATAGCGGAAACTCATTAACGAGATGCCTTTTTGCGTACTATGAACTTAGTGGGCTGCAAAAAAGTCAATATAAACATTCATCATTTGTGGAGCAAAACTACTTTTAATAACATAAAATTATAATTAGAATTACATTGCACACTATCATATTTAGTTGCACTTTGATTACCCGGGTGTTCAAATTACCGTTCTTTTTTACATATTTTTTTTTAGTTTAAATGACATCATATAGATGTTTAGGAAAAGAGCAATTGATATTTTTTTATTATGCATATTTTCTATACGTCACTGGGGTGATCTGCCTTTGGATGAATGTGGAATTTGGACACCCAAGAGATCATACAAAAATAAACTCATATTTTCAAACACAATTATAGACATTTAAATCTAAAATGCATAATATGTTTAAGCCATTCAACTGATATAAGGTAATACCCTCAGTAAAATTACAATAATTGATCAATCTATATAAAATTAGCCGAGATAATTTTAAAGTTTTAAATTTAAATGCGAATATATGACATTTTGTGGTAAACTATATATTACTATAAAATAGAAAGTGTGCAAAGCGATCAAAATCCTATCTTATTTAACACATACATAACGACTACTATTCATCTGTACCAAACTAGTGAGATAAGTACCAGCGTCAGTACCCTGCTGTCTATACTCGCTTCTTATTCTAAATATTTTAGTAATTATTTATATTTAGTATTTCCTAGTTTAAAATTAGTTCCAGAGTGTACGGCGGACCAAGATTTTGACACACTTTTTTTGTTTCTATCACATCAACACCTTTAAAACTTACAAACGAATGAGAGACAATTTTTAGTACACAAAAAATAATATAATAGGGATGATGACTAATTTTTGTTTGTTTGTCCGTCAGGTAAAGTGTTAAAAAATATTAAACCCGTATATTTTTATTTTTTCGTAATCATAAAATTACGGCGTTACATTGAGTTGAAATTTCGCATGACGTCACGTTAGAGTACGTTTTCTACTTAATTGTGACGTAGCGAGCCCCCACTCCTCAACTTTAATGCCTGTTATCTATACTATTTCTTGTTAAATTGAAGTAAAAAAAAATACGTATCTAATATTTTTCTATTATCTGACTGACGGACTAAATAGAATTGCATTTTTTTACCCAGTCATCATCCCTATTAACCGAGGAAGACTCTACGGAAGCCACTCTGAATTTCTTTCTTTTGTCTATGGTTCTATATTCCGCGAGACTGGAATGCTTGTTTTAAAATTAAAAAGAAAAACAATACCATCAATTAAAAACACAATATTTGTCGTTCGTATTAATATAAATAATCGAGGGAAATTGATGAGAACATTATTATTAAACGAGAATGTTATTTTTTCGAATCTAACTTACTATCTATAATTTCTACTATATATCACAGTTTTGGTAAACAAATGCAAATAAAATCATATCAAATGTGATGGTAATTCATTATTTAAAAGTTGTATTACGCAAATGATAATACAGTTACTTTTCAAATTGTTGAACAACACATTTCTTATCTTTTTCATGTGATGTTACGTCTTTTCTATTTATATTAGGAATAGTGAATAAAAAAATTAAATGTTTTGTCTAAAAGTTCGAAATTCAACCTCAAAACAATAATATGAAGTAACTTTCAGAATTCGCTGGATTATCTGTTATCTAGCAATATTGATCCTGACAGTTTTTAAATATTATTTTAATGTAAAAACTTATAACTGTGGAGAAACAAGGTGATGCTAATACGATGCATTACATTCCAAATGATAATGAAAATTAAACATAAAATATTTGGCAATAAAGATATTATTAAACGACTCGAAAAAAAAACATTTTTTCACCGCGTACTACATTAATTTTGTCAAAAGTTTGGTGCACCTAGTAAAGACGACAATCTATGCCGAATACGTTATTACCAGAGGGCGGAATTAGGTTATAGTTATTTATGTACTTGCATCGAAATGTTGATATTAATGTGGACCTTCCCGGGATTTCTTTATTTCTTCTTTCTTTATTTCTTTCTTTCATTGATGTAAGATGGCAACGTCGTGCATGCAGTAGTTTAAATTGTGTAAAAGTAAATAACTTTTTATTTAAAAAATCACAGTATTTTTTCTGCTCTTTAAAATTAATCTCGGGATTTGAGGCATATCCACTTTATTCTTTCGCTGTATGAAATCAGTGTAAGTACATAAATAATTCTACCTAATTCCGACCACTGGTTATTACTTAAGTACTCGAACTCTACTTTACAACTAACCTTATGCTCATGATTATAAGGATCATTTTAAAACGTAATCACTTCGCTTATCATACTCAATGTCATTGAATGAGATAGGAAATTCTACGGGCATAGTAATTTTTGTTTGTTTTTTTTTCACATGGAAACTGCATTACGATACCCAATAGAAAGTTAGTTGTAAAACAACAACACAACCTCGCTGGACAGGAGCTTACATAAAAAAAAATATATATGTTAACTTAATGTCTCGTACCATGGCCAAGGAACACCACAGGTACATTCAATAACAAACCTTATTCTGATGCCATGACCAGTCGAAGCCAACGGTAACGAATTGCTCGGGCAGCTACCCGGATTGCGAAAGGTCCTGGATACTTAAGACTGGGGATTTTTAGGTCATTTTCCTTCAAAGAGACGCGACCTTTTGTTTTTTCGATGATATAAACATGACGACCATATCCGGCCTATAAGCTTTAATAAAAATCCAGCACAGCGCCCCTAGCGGTAATTACCAAGAATTACAAATCTCCATACAAATACTTAACGTACTCACTAGTGAATGCGTTAATGTTAAACTTACGCTTACCACAATAAAAGTTTGATGTTAGTAAAAGTCGTAGATTAAGATGTCAGCTATCTAGTCCTGCCAAGGTTGAAAGGTTCAAATAACACTGTATTTTGTATTGTGTAAAGACAACAAGGTTTTGGGTATCGATTTAAACATTTCATTCGAAATTTCTTGTATAACTAATCGTACAAAAAATATATTTTTATGTTCCACTTTTACGTGCTATGCGCACACAATTTTAAAGCACAACACATATGTAGACTACTTTCCTAAATGTTTTAATAATTTAATAACTTGTGACATACACAATTTATTATTTTTAAGGCTGGTTCAGAGAAGTCTGTACGAATTCTTGGTCGGCAAACCGCATGGATCTAAATTACTATGAAACTATATCTCGTCATACCTCGCATAAAATACCTACTAGTAAGTGTATCCGCAGACACTGCTCTGAAATCAGTCTAAGACGTTTCCCAAAATATTTCCACGTGAATATAAATAATTTCCATCACATCATCATCACATTAATTTGTTTATCGTTTACAGACAAGTTTGTGCTGTATTTGATTAGAGTTAAGATCCTGTTTGGTCTGCAAATGATCAACGACCACATTTAACCTGGCACCAACAATCGCAAGCTATTATAGAGCCTCTTTCAACGACTCAACTCCGTTATACAGATTTGTTTCATCATAGTTTCTGTTCTAACAGAAACCTCTGTACCTAAAATTATATTTTGCAATCTTGATTACACTAAAAGCCAATTACAAAAGTTTATGAAAATGTAAAAAAAATGTTTCATACAAAAAGTCAGTATTATTTAGTATATACATATATGTATGGGTATGGATGCCAGGTGTTATTAACACTAGTAATTGTTGACAAATTTGTGTTGGTCACCTGGGAAGTGCACAACGAAGTCTCCGCTGTAGCTGTGTGAAGGGGAGGGGGAGGAGGGCGGTGAAGGCGATGCCGGCGGTGTGGGGGAGGGGGGGTCGAGTGACGCACGCGACGCGGAACTGAGGCTGCTAGAGCTGAGCTCTTCCGGTTCCCCTTCGAAGCGCCCACAATTCGACGACGCTGCAACAAACATAATTAAAAGAATTTAACAACAAAGTCATTCTTAATGAAAAATGCTTAAACAATCCACTTTGTCCCTGGCACACTGGGATGGGTCTCGAACCCGACGACCTTTCGCCCGGATTGCGAATGATTCGCAATCCGGGCGAAAGGTCGTGGGTTTATCAGTATTATGTGAATGCAAAATTGACCAAATATAATAAACAAGGTCATTGTACGAACCGGTCTATACAAAGTTAGAAAATTACTCATTTTTCAACAAGAAGTAGGTAATCGTGTTTGCTTTATTCAGATATGAATAATTTACAATTTTAACGTTTCAATTCTATTTATTTTCCATTTGAATGAGTTATTTAGAAATGGCCCCAATCTACCGTGTTCTCTTCAATTTTTAAATAATAATTTAAATCTAAGTGTGGAAGAGAAGTATATTTTTTTTAATTGCCATTTTTATGTCTGGCCTCGAGTTATTACTCATTTATTTATGGCATATAGATGCAAAGCATTTTGTCTGCAATAAGTACGATTGTATCACAAACGAATCTTTAAACACAAACAAATTAATCCATAAAAAACTAACATACAAAATTCTATTTAAATCACTGAATGAAAGTCTAAATATTCTTCTTTTCTCAACAACAAATAATTTAGTCATTAAAAACCATTACGAAACTTATTCGAAGCTTATTTTCACATCAACTCCTGAGACCTGCTCAGTCACCGCGTTTCGAAATTATGCGGTCAGAATACATACTTTATTCTACTCTTTTATATTAAGAATAAGTTTTTTCGCAATGTTTGACTGTAAAGAAATACTTTTAGAGCATATTACCATTTTATGTACTTCATATATAGCCGCCACCAACAAGTGTTCTCGCACCTGACTTCAACACTGGACCGACCTTTTTAAGGATAATAATTTCATCCGTAGCTAAGGTTATTCTCTGAATATAACCTATATAATATTATCCTTTTACAACTGGTCTTTATATAAAAATATTTTATAAGGAATTGGTTCAATTATTCGGGTGGGATATGTAGTAGAAAAAAATGCTACAAATGGTTTTTGAATTCGCATTTTTTTATTTATATTTTCTATATGATTTAAACACTCCCATAACAGTATTAACAAAACCGTACAGAGACAAGGCAGCCAAATTTCAAATTTAATTTTATAATTTTGATACACACGAAATCCTAAATACTTTAAATTCGATAGCAATATGTTTTTATTCAATCATTAGAAACATGGTCTATTGAAGACAGATCTAAAGTGCAATTTTCTTCTATAATAATAACAAATGAATGTCTTATTATCGCACATACGACAGAAAAATAAATACATTTACATTTATTTCAAGAGAAAGTTTCAATTTTAGATAGAATGTGAAATATATCGAAATTACATAGAAACAAGCCTTTGTTTTATTGTTTAGATTTATATTTAGTTAACACATTAGGTAGAAGTAAATTAATCGAGAAGGAAAAATTGTAAGTAATCAAGCCGATGTCGCATTGTTTCGCAGACAAAAATTTCATAGAATTTTGTTCCAAAAAAAATTTAGAAAACGAATCCGCGCCAGAAACGATCTTCCACCAGAATAGTAGGTTTATTTAGAACTACAGACGCAATAAAAAACAAATCGTCACACAAAACGAGCCTAGAATAATAGTAAGTTAGGTTATAAAATAAGTTTTATATTAACTAAACAATATGAGGATAAAGTTTGATGCATTATTCTATAACTAAATGTCTAAACAATAAATTTTATTTGTACAAATACACTAATTATTCTGAATTTTGATTATTCAGTGAAATGATAATTTGGAAATATTTTATGCGAAACAAAATTCTATCAAACAATTGTCTTTAACATGATGTATAATTAAACCATTTATCAATATTCACTTTGATGAGTCATTGGTAATAAAAGTTTGTCTTTTCGTCCTTAAATCATATGAAATAAAAGTATTTTATAGTAGCTTGCATATTATTCTGTTGGATGAGCGATATGTATAAAGACAAAAATAGACGAACAAATAATCTCAACATTCGAGAAGTAATCGCTTCGAAGACCAAATCTATCTTCAAAAAACCCAAAGACAACAGCAATTTTCAGAGAAGTATCATAATCGAAACTCTACCCAATTACACTATGATTTCTTAAAATTTAACTTCCATACCGAATGAGATCCACATTTATCTAAGACATTAAAAATATATAGAAATCAATCGGATTCGTTTAACAAAAAACATTGTCAATAATATGTACACACAGATGTACAACGGGTTATCACAAAATTACAAATTTCTGAAATTGATTTTAAATTAAAAAAAATATATGTCAGGTTTTTATAACGTGAAATACTGTTAGCTGTATATACGAAAAATAATTTCACAAATTATTGCAATATTATAAAAAATATATAAAGAGTATTTATATTAATTTGTTTTATGTAATAATTTAATAGTTTCCATTGATAATATTAACATTTTTTTAACATTGATACATCTAGTCAAACAATAAAAAATGTTTTATTATTGCCACTGTCATAAATAAATATATCTTAAAACAATTATTAGCTATTATTATTTATGTGTCCAGTTCACCGAGGACAGTGCGAGGAGTAGATGGTGAACTTGTGATTTTTTTGTATAGAATTGTATTGATGCGTATAAAAGTTTATATAACGCGAGATTTCTGTTATACCGCATATTATTATTATATTAACTCCTCGCCCCGCCATCATGAAACCACCGTTAGACTCAATAATCTGGCGATTGCTTTCAGTATGGACAATTGTACTTAGGTTTACGAGAGATCAGGATATCTGAAATTTAACCTTTCAGACCATTGCAATAGAGTTTCAATTCATCAATTTTTTCTTACTCAAAGTTAATATTTTAATTCTACTGTTTAGTGTTAAACAGTGTTGTCATTTAAAAGCATGTACCATTACCATTTGACGACATATCACTCATCCAACGTTTTAAAAAATAAACAGAAAGAAACGATTGCGCATTACTTTCTGAAAAATCGCACTTATGACATGTTTGTCAATATATAAATCACATTATATAATTAAGTTCATTAGTATTACATAAAATTTTGTAATTCATTTTTTGCCACATTTCAATTTCAAACGACATTTGGATTCATCTGTTGGATGAGCGAAATATACTTTATGCAATTAATAATATTAGACATTATTTTAGTAATAAACTGTGCATTATTAACATACATTTATATTAAAAAAAAACACGTTGCCTATTAGCAGGAGAATTAGAAAGAATTTTGCATTTTAGACATACGTTAATAAATTATGTAGAGCGACTATTGAACGCATTGTGCTTTAACTCCTTCACACATTTTTACACGAATTATTTATTTCACTGGCAACATTATTGCTTGCTTTTTTAGTGTTTGGACATGGTATTTTTTCTTCTTATGATAAATTCAATCGAGACTTCAACATTTTTAATTTCATCATTATTTAAATGACAATGAAAGCGGTGTTTAACACTGACTGGTGCATAAAATAACTAATATTGATTATTATTTCCTAAAAATAATATTCCATTAAAAATAATAAAACTGCCACCTTAACATCGTTACAACATAAAACAAAAAAATATTATGCACCGAAATCGATTTCACGTTCAAAAATTAGGTATAAAAAAAATAAATATTTGTCATGATTTAACAAATTAACACTAATACCAACATCAAAATAATACTCGTCAATAAAAATTACATCATAATATTTGTACACAAGACAGCCGCACATTAGAAACAGGTATATTACTTACTTACCGAAAGGATCGTATTTGCAATTCGCTATATTTTTAATTAATACTGAGGTTCCAAATAAACAGCTCTATAATTATAAGACATATTATGAGAACTTTCATTAAATATGAAGTTGATACTGGGAAAATATATAATAACATTTCATTATTAGAAAAATATCCAAACATATTAATCTGATATTTTCATTTTTTTTCTATTTTACAAAGAGTAGTAAAGAAATTGGTACAGAATACTCAGATGAAATGTCACGTTGATACTTTTCATCGCCAATAATAGATGGCGTTAGTGTTCTTAAATGGTTTTTTTTAAATTATACATATAGGCCGGTCCTATCTTAAATGTAAAGTCGATAGCACATCAGATTCTATAAAACTACTGTAAAATTTTCAACTTTATTTCAAACCTCAATGCGTTAGGGGTAAAGTTCATAATCGACTGGGAAGTACTTCCGTGTATATTAGACAATTGAAATCAATAAATAGTACGTTATAAACTCGAAACATGGAAGAAATTAACAAATTTCAGTCATAAAAAAAAGCCATACAACCATTTGTTTACTAACACCATCTCTTGCTGCACGTGTCAATACATGACATTCATCCTTTAGCTCTACATTTACAAAGAAAAAGAAACACAATGAAAATATAAATATAAGACAAATCTGTTAACTTGACAAAAAGAATAGGAGATCCGCCTTCGGTACTTCTATGTGTAGAAGTATAAAAACGAAGGCGCATGGGTAAATATAAAAAGTATTCGTCCTTCCTAAGCATAGTAGCTTGACTTATATATACAATGATAGAGATTCCAATGATTCGGTAATAAATACATAAATTATTAACTGTAAATTAGCTAGCACGATCACGTGTGAGGTAATATAATACAATATTACTGGCCTTGTTTTCGCGTCGGTTATGTAAAACGTGAATTATTTTTGGCCATTGAGGATATCATTACTACAACTAACAGTCTATTTGTTTAGGTATTTAATAAAAAGTATACAATATTTAAGTATTTTTTGTATATATCAAAACATTAAAATCAATTTAGTTTGACTTCAGATATGTCAACGTAAGATTGTAAACATGGTCGGTCAGTCTATTTGTTAAGTTGTAAAAGGTTAGGTTAGGTTATATTAATTTTATTAAGTTAATAAACTGACGCCGCTTGTAGTTTTACAGTAGCACG